TGAAAGTCTACTAAATAGCACCTAATAGCAGATACTAGTCTACCAAATAATAGAAAGTCTACCTAATAGCAGATACAAGTCTACCAAATAATAAAAAGTCTACAAGGTAAAGTAGTGTCTACTTCCAGCAACTTTTCAACGCCCGTTGTTAGAGTGGTAGCCATGTTATTGGCATTCACACGTCTTTTAGCAAACCACCTGGTCAGGAGACTCCTTATATCATCCACTAGTCGTACGATAGGCTTACCTCTTGCAGCAGATAGCACCTTGTTTAATGACTCCGCTATGTTGCTAGTGGTGAAATTGTACCTATCACCTTGGAAGTGTACACGACTCCACAAACAAATATCTGCCTTCACCAAGTATGCATGCAGTGCAGGATTTGCCTCTTGAATCTGAGCAAAAAGGGCATTGAACTCGAGAAGTCTATAAGCAGTGGCAGCCTTCTTAACAAGCTTGAATGTTTCAGCGCCTCTGAATTTCACCATAATGTTCTTATGGAGATGATATGTACAAATACCCCGACTAGCAAGAGGATAAACCTTCCCTATAGCATTTCCTATGGATTTATGCCTATCAGAAATAATGGCAAGTCCTTCATCATCAGGAATAACACGGTGTAGTTGTGTAAAAAACCATTCCCAAGACTCATCGTTCTCAGTATCAACAACAGCAAAGGCTATGGGAAAAATGTTGAAGTTTCCATCTTGCGTGGTGGCGAGTAGTAGTGTACCTTTGTATTTTCCATGTAAAAACGTACCGTCGACCACTACCACTTTCCTCATGAAGGGAAACCCCTGTATGCTTGCGCCAAATGAGAGGAACATAAATTTGAATCTATCTTCCTCATCAACTTCTAGCTTGATTAGTGTACCCGTATTTGCTCGCCGAATCATATATAAGTATGAAGACAGATCTTCATAACCACTTTCAAACGTCCCTGATACTAGTTCTCGAGCATACTTTAGGGCCCGATGTGCTTTCCAATAGTCAACCTGATAATGAGAAATAATATAGTGAAGTCTACGAATAAGATAATAACTCTACCATAAAGATAATAACTCTACCATGCTAGATAATAACTCTACCAAATAAATTATATAAGTCTACCAAATAAATTATATAAGTCTACCAAATGAGCTAATAACTCTACCAAAAAATAAAATAAGTCTACCAATTGAGCTAATAACTCTACCAAAAAATAAAAAAGTCTACCAATTGAGCTAATAACTCTACCAAAATAATAAAAGTCTACTAAAAGAGATAATAACTCTACCAAAGAAATAATATAACTCTACCACATACCTTTATACTATATCGTTTGGTCAGAGCTTCGGCGACGTGATTTGGTAAGACTTTTGGGCCAACACCGCCGACGAAGTCCTTATATAGACGGCCTAGAACCTCATGGGTTGCATGGCGGGTGCGTTGTGATCGCACAGTCACAGAACACGTGTGTTCTCGAGTATAAGTTTTAACCCAAAAACATTTGCTGCTCCCAACAGTTGAAGCGCGAACCCTCCATTTGCAACCATCTACCCAACACTTAACAGTTAGCAATTTCTTACTCGAATGATCGACATTGTAGTCGAATTTGTGAGCAATGGAAAGAATTTTGAGTCGCATCTCGAAGTCCTCTTTTGTTTCATAACGCTGGCCAACGGCTAAGTCTAAAGATGAAAGCTCTAGACTTTGAAAGTCGGGAATTGTAGTCGTTCCCCTTTTCTTCGGTGGTAGATTTAGCGACTCCTCCTCATCTGAACTTTCACCATCTGGACGTTTCTCACGTCTACCGTACTCTTCGTCATCGGAACTTGCACCATCAGGATCTTCGCATCCATCAAATCTGGTTGACAAATCCTCTTCTTCATCATGCATTTCTTCGTCTTGTCCAACTTCAACACCTTGTTGCGGACGATCTTGGCGCACTTGTTCTTCAGGGACTAGACTAGGACATGCATCTCGATCTTCGTCTTCATCAACAACTCCCTTTTGAACTTTTTCTTTGATCTCAACACATAAACGAACCGTTTCGTTTTCGTTCTGGAATTGATGCAAAAAACTCTGCAGCTGTCTTGAATTACCAACAAACACAGGAGGTGTATCCAGAGGTAATTTCCGCCGGACTTCAGACGACAACATATAGCTGAACTGAAGCTCATAAAAATGTTGATCCAACCCGAAATCTTCATATGTGATTTCAACCAAATCGGCAAAGGACGTTTTGCGGTCTATCCCTATAAAACTACATCTCCTGGACTGATCTACGATGAAGACCCACCTCGTTTTCTTTAAAACTCAGTTACCACAAACCAAAATAACTTGATCCATGAATATAAAAGTGGATAAGAGGCACAAGATCGAAGTAGAAGGAAAAAATCAAGAGTTATCCCAAGTTTAACAGCTCGACGGCGAAACCTAGAGGTTGAAGATGGACTCTGGTTTTGTTCCGTACTTTAGACAATACATACAGGGCAAAAAAGTAAAATCGCACTGCCCGATAACTAAGTCTACCACATTGATATTGAATCTAACAATTTACAAACAAATCTACCATATAGGTCACTAAGTCTACCATTAATAAATCATATGTACTTGTAATGTTTATAGCTCTACCAACTAAGGTACAGTACATTTAAGGAGGTGAAAACCCAGCAGAAAACATAAACTTATGAGCGAGTTTCGATATAAATCGGCTGGTCTTGCGATATAAGCGAGTTCAAACGGTAATAGCGACGTCTTGGCTTCGTCGATTCCACCGACGGCGAAGGAGTACTCACACATTATTTGGTATGAACATTCATAACCGCGGTAAACATTTAGTGTTCATAGCATTAAACGACTTTTGTTATAGATTATTGGAGTTTTCTATCATTGCTGGGGTTAATGTTCAAACTAAAAGTCGTCCTGCTTTAATAAAAGTGATAAATTGCATCTATTTCGTCGTCGAAAGGTTGTTTCTCGGCTATCGGCGGCTGTATGCCTAAACCCAGAAACCCTAGTTTTTGTGTGAGTGGTAGACTTTTTAAATATGTAGTAGAGTTTACGTATTTTCATTTATAGTAGACTTTTCTGGTTTTATGGTAGAATTTATATGCTGATGGTAGACTTTAAATATTTATAGTAGACTTTTGTTTATTTTGATTTGTGTTGTTTAGTACTTTTCTTATCGACACAGACAATGCCGAGCTATAGCGACAGTTCTTCTGAAGAGCCGGAAATGGATACGTTAAAGTGGTCGGGTTTTGGGGACTTTGGGATTCAAGAGAAGTGTTATTGTGGTCGGGATATGATCCTCAAATCAATGCCTGGTGATACGCCCGCAACACCTGGCCGTAGGTACTACACTTGTCCATTGTGGTTGAAGAAGGTAAGTAGCTTGAGTATTTGTCATAAGTTTTCTTAAAAATATCCATTTGTTAATCTTTAGTTAACTGTTGTGATACTTAATGTATGAGATTGGCCTGATGTATGTAGGGGAATCCAGACCATATCTGGAAATGGTGGGATGAGGCTGTTACAGAGGAATTGGAACGGTTGAAGATTGGCCTTGAGCAGAATAAGGAGAAATTGCAAGAGCTTAGCAGGGCTCAAACTTTTGATCCTCGTTTCATGCGTTTGGAGAATCGTTTCCAGTCATTGGAGAGGTCTATGGAATGCAATGACTTGGTCGGAGACATTCGGGAAATGAAAGATGAGATACTCCGGCTTCAAGGCGACTTTGTTTGGATGACGGAGCAAAACGCCAGGGGTGACCACTACTTGATGCTGGCGTTGCTGTTCGTGTTTGCAGCCATTGCGTATATGTTAAGTACAAGTCCGTTTCCTTATGTTTAGTAGATTTATATTAAGTCGAATGGTAGACTTATATTAAATTGTTGGTAGATTTGTTGTAAAAGACTTGTCATGTTCCCAATTACAGTCGAACGAATGGTAGACTTATATTATATTGATGGTAGATTTGTTATAATTAATAGCTTTCGAAATGAATAACACATAAATCTACTTAACACAACATAAATAACACAACATAACTTTCATAAGTCTACTTCATAATAAAAACAAATCTACTTAACAGAAGTCTGTCAACAAACATGAAAGTACAACTACTGATGCAAAAAACGTGGCCAATCCATAGCAAACGACGGTACTACCCACCATAAATTGGCACACTCCAATTTCCAGAAGCAGGATTCACAAAGTTGATCCCCATACGTCTCTAGCAGGTATTCATCTCCCATCCATTGCATGTCTGGTACTTTGAGACAACCACAAATCCTTGTACTTAAAGACTTTTTATAAGCCTGGAAAACCATTTCCACCAGTTCCTCGGGCTTCTGGAAATTGAACGCAGGCATGAAGATCTTTTCCATTGTCAATCTCATTTTCTTTGCATCTTCCCGGGAGAGAGCTTTAACAGAGTTAAATACCTCTGATGTGCCATCCATGGTTAGATGTAACATAGTGTGGCAGTATTTACCCATGAGAAATCCGTTGTCTGATGCCATTTGAATGAAATCACACCCTGCTTGGAGGTTGTGTTCGAAGAAAATCAGCGATAAACCTCTTCGCAATTGTGCGGATGGATTTCCTGCCGCCAAGCACCGACTGAAGAATGCACCGACCCTTCCATGAACATCCCACTTCCACGGCAAGATAATGTTGATTAAATCAACATTCCTAAGAAAACCTGCTTCGTTAGAGATGTTGTTAAGTGTTTTGGACGAAACTTTTGCAAGACAAAGATCCGCATACGAGTTTGAAGATATTTTTAACAATATCTCGTACAAAAGATCAGAAGGAAGCGACTCGAGATTCGCCATAGGGTTTAGCGGGATGGGAAATGAATCGTCTCGGTTGTGGTATTTATAGAGAACTCACAAGAGAACTTGAAGCGACTCGAGTCAATAGAAGTTCTCGAAATCGATGCGACTGTTCGTTGGAAAATGCATCAAGAGAAGTTCTCTAAATCGATGCGACGGTTCGTTGGTAACGGTTTATGGTTACCGTTACCATAAGTCTACCATATGGACGAAAATTGCAAGACGTACAACACTGCAACCATAAGTCTACCAAACAGTAGGTTTTTTTGTACATAGAACAATTCTTTTGGACAAAAAAGTAATTTTACTCCATAAAGTCAAATGTCTGCCAAACATTAACTACTAAGTCTACTTCAAGCATGACAAATAACTCTACCATATAAACAAGTCTACCATAAGCATGTCATATGTCTACCAGATCAAGGTTAACTCTGTAAATACCAAACTTAATTAATCTACCACATTGTTATTTCAAAAAGTCTACCATACGGCCGATAAGTCTACCAGATTACATAAACTCTACCAAACATACAAACAAATCTACCAACATCTTGTAAGTCTACTTCATGTCATTATTAATCTACCACAAATCAGAATGAAATTTATTTAAAATATAAGTCTACCACAAAACAAACATATCTACCACAAAACAAATAAATCTACCAACAGTTTTTAAGTCTACCTCATGTAACATATAATCTACCACTCACCGGAATGAATTTTAAGTGAAACAAGTCTACCACAAGTCAAACAAATCTACTACAATAGCTAAAACTCTACCAACTATATATAACTTTACCATTAAACAGATATATCTACCGCACGTATTGACAACTTTTTTCACATAAATCTACCGCTAAAGGAAATAAGTCTACCAACTCAAAAAATAAATCTACTTCATTGTCTATAAATCTACCGAAAAAGTCAACTATGCGAGAAAGTCAACGCTTTTGTTAACAAGTCTACCAAAACTTTTGACAAGTCTGCCATTCATAACAACAAATCTACCGAAACATAATAAATCTACCTCTCATCGTCAAAACTCTACCAAGAAAAGTCTACCAACATTTAAAAACTCTACCAACATTTAAAAACTCTACCAACTCTTGAACAAATCTACCATCGCCCTAATAACTCTACCAACAAAATTTCTGCGTTGACCAAATTTTCATAAGTCTACCGCCATTGCTTGGTAGAGTTATTAATTTTTGAGCGCATAAATCTGCCTACGTGGCATTAAAAATGTAATGGCATTTTCGTAATAAGGTTTTTTTCAACAAAGGCGAAAAGGGTGTTTTGGGTATGCTAGGTTAGTTTTGTAAAAAAAATAAAAAGTGCGTCGAACCAGTAATATAGATACTTTCTAAGGTTAGTGTAGTAATCCTCCTGCTAGAAATATTATATTTCCTCTAGAGAATATTTACTTCCATCTCCTTTGAATGATTTTTCGCAAGTGGAAATCACGCGTCTTTAGTTAGATCCTTTCTCAAGATATATCTTTTCATCTGTCTGTTAGTTCATCATCCTAATCTACCCGTTCAAAGCTAGCCAACCAATCGAGAATATGGACAGTAAAATTCATTTAGGAGTCCAACATCAAAAGAGTGAACCTCTTTTACACCAAATACGACCATTTTAAGAGATTGGCCAAGAGTTTATGAACTTGAGACATTAATCCAACAATATCACAAAGAAACAGAGTTCTTCGTACCCATATACTGTAACAGTTTGTATCATTTTATTTAAAAATAATTTAGAAATGTGGGACACTATCTAAATTCTTAAACCACTAAAGTACTTCCAACATATATCGATCCCCCAATTAAAGATCCATACATCAATCAAGGTCTGGCTGAAAATGCAGAACACCAAAAATTTAACTGCTTACTTTTGTTTCCCGTGATAACTACACCGAGGTAAGTGTCGTCTTTTTCTATAAGCAGTTTCCTTTGATCTTAAGCAAAAGAATTTCATGGATGATTTTTCTTTAAGCGAGCCTTTTTGAAATGACTACACATCCTACACATATGGTAGTATATAATGTTATCTAAGTTGAGGCGCGAGCCTTTTTCTTTAACCGAAGCCGGTCCTTGATTTTCGTTCAGAACCTCGCTTGCTGACGAAGACCCCGCCGGTTCCACCGCCGCCTAGTTTTTTTAAACAGTGTAGGTCCGACCTGCAGATCAACAATACGATTGTCATCTTAGAGTTCAATATTTTAGGTGTATACAGAAAAAAAAAACCAGTCAAACACTTAAACATTTGTCAACACAATGCCAGTAATCAAAATACTGCCAGCGCAATGTTTGTGGCCAGACTCATCATCTTGGATCCTCTTGACGCACACCTGAATCACAACAACAAAATGTTATTCGTCTGAAACCACACTCCACACCATGTGGTGTAAGCGCCGGAAGAAACCGCTCCTCTTGATGTCAACATACTCATATTTTGCAATACAAGGTTATAACCAAAAGCCAGCTGAAGTTGAATGTAAACGGATTCACCTGATATTCAAGCAGTGGCTTCACACATTTTGGTTTGCAAGATTCATCGAGGCACTTTTTCGGATCAACAACTTCCACATCTGCCTTGTAATTATCGAAATTACAGCAACCATTAGGGTGGAACATCAATTTTTTTAAAACCCTAAGATAATGGCCTAGTAGCAATGAAATGTTCATAACAATGAAAGACTGCACTGTTCTCAAAGTAGTGCTGTTAAAGGGATGAAGCTCGAATTCTCATTTTTATTCTGCAACTCTGACGAACATACACAGATATACCCTTCAAAAATGGAGAGAGCTACTCAACAAACTACAAAATGATGTGTGCAATAAGTCATCGTACATCTTAGTCAAGAGAATAATTCAGTTTACTATGAGTAAGGATTCAGATAGTTCTTCGTCAGCTCATTATTTTATCAGATAATTACAGGGGATCGCTCAAGTCTAACATATTAGAAGAGAGAAGAAGTAAATTGTAAGTGATGTAATGAACGGAGAAATATAAATATGTCAAGCACAGACTATAATTAGAAGAGAGAAGAAGTAATTTATTACCAATTTCCGTGCTTGATAGGATTATAATTTATAACGCAGAATCTAGAGAAGTGCTTGAAGAAGAATGAACTTACATGGTGAAATTGGAAATGAAGGATCGCAAGCTTGACCGGAAATCTAATAGAGAAAAGTATTATAAAAACCAAAAAAACTTTAATCATCGATCTATATGAAATGAAAAGTAGATCCGTCGAAGGAATTTACATAACCTGATTGATTGCCAAACGATGACCGTCACACACAAAGAAATCGAGGTAAGTATTAATTTTTTTTTTTTGCGTCCACTAATTCATCTGAGACATGACGAGACGTAGCTCTTCCGCTTCGAAGTGTTTCTGTTCTTCTTCTTCTCCTGAAGCGTCGTCATCTCCACGGCCCACCAAGCGATCTAAGGTGAAGATTGATGCCACCGCTGCTGCTCTTGAGCCTGTTCGTAGATTTCCTGAGATTTCTTTTTAATCATTCCCTCTGGCTTGATGAAGAAGACGATTGGGGGAAATCGAATCGAAACATTAACGTTTTTTTTATTAAAGTTTAAGTTGCCACGTGGCGCTCTCTCCAGTGATGACGTGGCGATCAGCTGAAGAGAATTGGCCAAGTTTTATAATATAGATAAGATAATTAATTAGAATTTGCCCTAAATCGATGATTAATTAATTTGATTTCTTTCCCCATCGAGATAAATGGATCTTCATGCGTTATTAATATAAGCAAGTATTAATATAGGCATATCGATTAATATTTTAATATTGATATACTAAAGCCATCGATCTGTATGCGTTATTATAAGCTTTGAATTCAATTGTGCTATCTTAATTTGATATATTTTATTGTTGGGAGAAGTGGTTTTATAATGCTAATTGAATTATAATTTGTCTTCTTAATGTTTTCTAAATAAAATTTGTCCCTTTAATGTTTAATTTAAATTTAATCCAATTATACCCTTTAATTACGCATTAATAAATTAATTTATTTTTAAAAATGTTTTATTAATAAGAAAAAAGAAAAAACAAGTAGAAAACCAATTCTACCAAGCCTAAAAAAAAAAAAAGAAACCCGATCTTCTTCACCTTCACCGTGTGTCTCCATCTTCTCCAAGTCACCTGCAAACTGTAAGTAAAACTTATTTCTTCTTCTTCCTCCTCTGTCTTGGTCATATTCCTCACTTTTTCTTTTAGTATTCTCATTCAAACCCTTGATTCTAGGGTTTACAATTTCTCAATTGATTTGGGGGTTTTGTTTCTGGGTTTGAGTTTTCATTCAATTGTATTCTCATTCAATTGTTTTTGAGTATTCGCTCATAGCCACATGTATTCTAATTCAATTGTTTTTGAGTTTTCGCTCATAGCCACATGACTGATTCTGGGTTTTATAATTTTGATCCTGGGTTTGCTAATTTCGATTCTGGGTTTGCTAATTTCGATTCTGAGTTCTGCACCTTCCTAATTGCTTTGGGCTATTGTTTATAGTAATTTCGTGATTCTGGGTTTGCTAATTTTGATTCTGAGCATGATTAAATGAGTTTGTATTCAAAGATTTACAAGTTGTGTGATGTTTTCAACTGCTTAACTAGGCTACTTTCAACTCATGTATTATTTAAAATTAGTGTACGTTATTATTTAAAATTAGTTGATGAACTTGCCTTTAGGTTTGTCTCTGTTTCGATTACATAGGTAAATTTGTTACCTATGTCGGGATTCAGATAAGCACCTATAGTTCCAGTGTTGAAATTTATATTTCATCAGGTTTCAAGTATTTTTATTCCTTTGTTTTGTGGTTTTTGTTTACTTCAGTATCAGTGGAGAAAACAAGCATTACGATTCACCCACAAATCCTGCAGCTCCTGCTCGTATTCCTGGTGGCGCTTGCAGTGGAGCTGCTATTGCTGTAGCAACTAACGCTGTAGATTTTGCATTAGGTGAGTTTTGTAGATTCCTTTTCCTTGTTGGAAAATATGGCACAAGATGTCTTGGTAACAAAACATTGCTTAAAATTTTAAACCATAAATTGATAGTTACCTATCTGTAGGAAAAAGTTGAAACGGTTATAAACCTGTTTTGTATTTTACATTACATTTTCATCAAAGCTGCCACCTTATTGCAGTTCTAAAACAAGAAGTTGCTGTCACCATAAATAAGGTCGCTTTTGCATTAAAATTGCTTTCACCATAAATGTGATAGTGTTGGCTGAGAAGGGGCGGTAAGAATCACTGAACCAAAACACATGCTTCCATAACTTTCGAATTATCATAGAAATGGGATAAATCCCAAAAGAAAACCACAACCCAACTGTTCTGTAGAAGCATTATCTGTTATGATCTAACAGTTATTGTCACATATATTTGTAGGTATGGACGAGGAACTTCCGAAACTGCTTTTCGAGCCTGGTTTTGTGAATGATATTGACAAGATCAACAATCGATGCATTCTTAACACAATGGACCCCGTTAAGAAAGCACTTTCAGACGAATACAAAAGAGTTCTGCTAGACCCTGTCTTTGGACCTGTTTTGTCGATTATCGAGAACGACATGGGATATTCAGGGCGACTAATCCATAGCTTTCTGTGTAAGGAGCTCATCACCGACAAGAAACACGAGCTATGGTTTGTGTTTGCGGGGAGACCTCTTCGATTTTCTCTGCAATAATTTCATGCGATTACTGGACTGAACACGGAAGACGATAAGACTTGTGATTTCAGTGATTAGGTTGATGATGGCGGGTTCTGGAGTAAGTTGTTGAGAAGCAAACGTGGAATTACTTTGTCTAACATAGAAACTAAGTATCTTGGGCGTGTCAACAAATGGACGCGTGAAGACAGGTTGCGGTTAGTGTACTTGTATGTTATTGCTTCTCTGGTAATGGCAAAGAGCAAGACCATTAATATCCCAAAAGAATATATCATTCTTGTTATGGATCTGGAGAAGCTACGGAAGTACCCATGGGGACGTGTAGCGTTTGATTTTCTAGTGCAGAGTATCAAGAAAGTTCGTGTGAAGTTGACGCAATCTACAGGTTGTCTTCAAGATTGGACGATGTGATCGCTGGTGTTGCTAGATGCTCTAAGTGGAACAGCATTAGCTATGTGAAAATTTCAGATCTTAAGCATATCGAACATACGTTTTGCACGAAGGTGATTTCTGATTCTTTTGCGGTTTTTTTTTTTTTGCTTTGTTGTATTTCCATGCTAATTGTCCCATTTTTGTTTTTACAGGAGAAGCTCTATCACTATATCTCTTCCACTGGGAATGATGATGTCGTCGATTCTTTGGACTTCGTATGGCCTGATGAAATGGCTGACACAAGAGTGGATCGTCTTAAAACGATGATCAATGATGGAATGGATTGGAGTCACCATAATTGGGCGGTAGAAGAAGCAATACCTGCAACTCTTGACGAGAATGAGGAAGCAACAGATGAAGAGAATGAGAATGTCGCAGAAGAAAGCCAATTTAGGACACCACCTGCTGTAGGTAGCTCAGTTGCAGGTTCGAGTCGAGGAAAGAAAAGGGTCGCTGAACCTGGTGCAGAAACACGGAAGCAGAAGTTGATGTGCAATCGATCAGCTGCGAAAGCCATCGATGAGGACTTTAAGTCTTTTATTCAAGGACTTTTGCAGACCTCGTTAAAAGCTTTGGAGGAGAGACTTCAGACGAAGATTGATAGTCGAGTAGAGCTGTTGGAGAAGAAAATGGAAAACATAGTGGAGATGCTTGAGAAGAAGATTATGGAACCCATCCAAGCAGGTGGATTCACTACTGCTACTCCCACCGCAGCAAAATCATTATCTGGTACGTTTCACACATTTGTAAATTATTTCATTGCTTTGCTTTATATGCAAAAATCTCATTGCATTTATTTTTCACACTCGCAGGTACAGCTGGTGTCATTCCTTTACCGGCAAAAACATCTACCACTGATGTTCCCATATTTGCAGAAAAATCACTATCTGGTACGTTTCACACATTTGTAAATTATTTCATTGCTTTATATGCAAAAATCTCATTGCATTTATTTTTCACATTCGCAGGTACAGCTGGTGTCGTTCCTCTACCGGCAAAAACATCTACCACTGATATTCCCATATTTGCAGAAAAATCACTATATGGTACGTTTCACACATTTGTAAATTATTTCAATGCTTTATATGAAAAAATATCATTGTATTTATTTTCCACACTCGCAGGTACAGCTGGTGTCATTCCTTTACCGGCAAAAACATCTACCAGTGTCATCCCTTTAGCTGCTTAAGCGTCAACAATTGCCGCCTCCAAATCCATAACGAGGTCTGCAGGTGCTATTCTAAGCAATGGAGAGACTTCGCACCCTTCCAAAAAGGTAAGGAAGCGCAGAAATACTAAGACCTGATGCCCTAGAATCAAAAATAATGTCTTTTTTTTTAGCCTACGATGTGTTCTGTATAATAAAAAGATAATGTATTTGTTAGATTTGTGTGTGTGGTAGTATTATTTTTAAAATGTAATATGTGTGTTTAGAAACTACGCTTGAAAAATTTACTTTTTTTATGTAGACTTTGGTAAACTTGAAATATGTCATGTTAATAATGTAATATGTTTGTCTCACACATGTTGTTAATTTCCTAAGTTCCACTTTTTTTTTCTTCGTATAATACAAGAACTATTTTGTACATTATCAGGAAGATGGAAACACAGAACTCCATGACGTGCTTCTCAGTCAAGAAATGGATTTCGACCTGGAAATGGATCCAGAAGACGCTTTACTCGCAAAAGCACTTAAGAAAATTTCTCAATCTTCATTTGTAGCTGATCGACGCAGTCAGAAGATGCAGATTGCCCATTGATTCATGTGTCAGAGAGCGATTGGGAAAGTGTAGAGTGGTCACGGACACGCGAGTAAGCACATAAACACTTTTTTAGTCATGTCATAAACACTTTTAAATTAGAGAAAAATATTGAACTTACACGTATTTGATTATTTATTATTATTATTATTTTTTAATTATTTCAAAGACTTATTAGTTGGTCCCCTCGTGTATAATATAGAAGTAGCTAATCGTTTCATGAATAAACGACAGTGGTTGCGCACTCCGGTAAGTATCTTTAAAATTGATTTTGTTAAAAATCATAATGTGTTCAACTTTGCCAATGTGGTTAACCGATGTTAATGTTGCAGGAAATGGATGGAATTATGTACTTATTTCGAGAGTACAATTCTTTGGACCGCTTTCAACATGCTCGTGTTGGCTTCATGACCTATAATTTCAGCGTCTCAGTTGGTGCTGCGTACAAACAATTGCTGATGAATAAAAGAAAATATCAGTTGGACCAGTTGCTCATAAAATATGGATTAGGAGCGCTTCCTGCACATGGAAGAACAGACAAAATTTGGGGTGTCGACGTTGATCGTATATATACTCCGGTCAATGTCCAGAACAACCACTGGATATCTTTGTGCATCAATTTCGAGCTGAGAACAGTGGAAGTTTTTGATTGCGACGGGGGTAAACACAGCCGGTACGTGGATGCATTCGCAAACATCATCCCTAGAGTTGTGAAGGAAGTTCAAAGTTACAAAGAGAAGAAGAACCTGGTTATTAAACCGTACACAGTAAAATATGTTCCGATGAGGCCTGGGATCAATAGGAGCTCATGTGATTGTGGAGTTTATGCGCTCAAATTCATTGAGTGTCACATGCTTGGACTACATTTGTCTTTGCTTAACGACGACAACATTTACGCAGCTAGGATGAAGATCACCTATGATCTTTGGAAAGCAGCACATGATCCAATATATTGATTGAGCGGATGAGAACGTATGTGCCTCCGAAAGCAGTGTGCTCAGATGATATTGTAGACTTGTTATAGGTTTGACATATTTCGTTTTAGGTGGTTCAGTTTTTTTTTTTTTTGGCATCGTGTTTTTCGTTGCTTGACATTGTGTTCTTGACGTAGTGATTTTATGTTGCTTGATCTGATTGCTCATGTTTTTCATTGATCTAGAAAATTCAGCAACACAAGGTTTTCTCGTAAAAGAAAAAATATTCTACATGAACTTTTTAGATTAGAAATTTAAAAATAAGAAAGTCGTTTTTTTGGTGTTGAGGAACCCTGTAAATGCAATTTTTTGGGTTAGAAAGAAAAAACAAAAAAAGCCTGGAACTCTATCGGCTAAGAGAGTTTGTACCCAAGACCAAGTATAGTGGTGTACGAAGGGGGAACCAATAAAGCTGTTATAGAAATCAAGAATTTCTCCCTTGCAATATGCTTTAACTATATAATGTCGTTTTTATTAAAAAAAATCTGGAACTCCGTCTAGGGGGTGTCAAACCCAGGTCTCAGAATACGAGTGCTCAAAGGGGGAACCAATAGAGCTGTTGTAGAAATCAAGAATTGGGCCCTAGCAAATGTTTTAATGTGTTTCATTTTTTTTTCTTAAAGAATCTCTGAAATCCCATACGACTTGTTGTGCCTGAAATTCATCACATATCGTACAGAGCATCTCTGAACTAAGTTAAACCTTCAGTTTGGCACTTAAACTTGAAAACCAGTACAGAAATTGTCTTTCATAAAGTGAAAATAAATAAGAAAACCAAATAAGCAAAACGAATAACAATATAAAAGAGATAGAGAAGAGCCTATATTGGCATGTCACATGTCCCTCTCTTATGTCCTTCGATACCACAGCGACTGCACTTGTGCTTCTTAGACCGTTGTGATCCTTGGGACGCTCGTATCTTGTCTTCCACACTTTCGTATCGTCGTTTTTTTCTGCGTCCAGCTGCTCGTCGCGATTCCGTTTCTACAACTTTGGCATGTTCAACATGATCAGGGACACACCAATCATCCTCAGGACCTGCAATTGGATTAATGCATTCCTCATAAGCTGTTCTCCATGCCTCAGTAGTGTAATAATGATCGGTGAGAGTGTGTATCTGCTGGTTCACAGAAAACGCTGCTTTAATTTCATGCCGACACGGAATTTTAAGCAAGTCGTACTTGCCACATGAACAAGTTCTTCTGCCCAAGTCAACAAGACAGTCATATTTGTCACCTCTGACCAAAAATCGATCCTGGCTAACTGGGTAAACAATGAATGTTTTACCCTTATCAATCCTTCTCTCGATCTTCGTCTCAACCTCAACTGTTAGAGGAGCCTGATGCTTTGAGCTAAGTTTTTTTACGCTCATAAAACCAATTGGTTAACATTTATCTGATGATGTCGAGTAGAGGAATAACTGGGTATTTTCTAGGAGTTAGCAATTTATTATTTATCGACTCAGCTGGGTTAGTGGTTCTAACATCGTACCTAAATCCGGGGAATTTGCATCGTACCCATTTCTCAACACCAGCGTCCTGAAGATACTTTCCAACAGCTGGACTAATAGAACAAATGGCAGCAAACTTGGTATCAAAAGCAGAAACTCTGTACTCTTTAGAAGCCTTCGCAATCAAACCAGTCAAACCCTGTGTCTTGAAAAATGTTATCACATTATTCAGCAAGTGGTGGATACAGATACCATGGCTAGATTGTGGGTACACTTTCTCAAGTGCTTTAATTACGGAAACATTTCTATCTCACACAAAAGCCAAACGCACCTCATCTGCAATGACAACTTTTAGTTGCCTCATAAACCACTCCCAAGACAGGTCGTTCTCTGAATCGACAACCCCAAATGCGATCGGATATAAGTTCGAGTTGCCATCTAATGCTGTAGCAACGAGCAAAACTCCTTTATATTTGTTTTTCAAAAATGTCCCATCCACAACAATCACCCTGCGAATAGCTTTGTAAAAACCTCGTACTGATTGACCGAAAGAGAGAAACAGAAACTTGAAACGTCCAGTAATGTCAGTTTCATACTGCGTATGGGTCCCTGGATTCGCTTCTTTCAGATTACCAATAGTTTTTGCTGAAGCTGTCCTACCGACTACGTCTTTATTAGAAGGAGCGCATGTATGTTGAGCGACATACTTATTGATTCTGAAATACTCTGACCCTTCAAGACATTGTGCACGAATACGCCAGTTGCATGACTTCTCTTTGCAGCGGATACACCACACACGTTTGGTTGATTCCAGTACGTTGTAGTCAAAATTATACTTCATCGCAGAAATTTCCAAAGAAGCCTTCAACTCTGTTTTGCTTCTAAAAATTTGATCCTTCTTTACGACATCAAGCAAGTTAAGCCGGACGTTCTGCTCACCGTCAACTTTTTTGTCAACCATAATGGATTCATCAAACTCTTCCTCCACTTTATGGCCAATGCCTCTAATATCATCATCGCCTGACTTCACAACCTGATCGTTTTTCATATAGCTTGAATCAGAGGTTTTCTTCATCAATTCGATGTTAATCGGAATCTCAGGATGTTCAGCGTACGCAGTGAATGTCACACACAAATTTACCGAGGTTTTATTCCCAGAGTACCCAACAAAATTTTTGAGCTGACGATCATTAGCGATACTCACTGGTGGAGAGCCTACAGTATCAATCAAATCAATCGGTAGATAACTAAACTCAGCTTTGTGATCGACTACTCCATAGTCTTCTAGAACCATTGTTTCTAACTCTGCGAGAGTCGTATTTGATTCAACAGCAACTAACATAGCTCGTTTTTCTGCATCAGCCACAAAAACCCACTTCTTATCTGTTCCTCATTTCCATGAACCACAAATGACATAGATATGTAGCATGTTTGAAGCAGAAAATATGTAATTTTAGGAAAAATCTGCTTGATCAATGTGAAAGAAGAAGAAGAGAACGATGACAGCCAAAAAAAGAAAAAAACGTCAAAACTAATGAAAAAACGTTGAAAATTAAAAAATAAAGATTTTCGAAATATTTAAGATCTGGAAGTTAACTAATTTTCCTAGATTTTCTCAGATTTTGGTAGAAGATGTACTCTACGTTAATGTAGAATGCAGTCAGGTAGAAGATGCATTCTACGTTAATGTAGAATGAAGTCTAACAGGTAGAAGATGCATTCTACGTTAATGTAGAATGACGTCTAACAGGTAGAAGAACCGTTCTACAATAACGTAGAACCTGGTCTAACAGGTAGAAGATGTATTCTACTAACATGTAGAATATAGTCTATCTAGTAGAAGTTATAATCTATCAATCGGTAGAATCTATAAAAACCTATAGAAAACGACTTCTACAGGCTGGTAGAATATGTGAAGAACTATAGAAATAGGATTCTACGTGGACATAGAACATAGAACATGCATTCTACCAAGCAGTAGAACGAATTTTAAAAATATTTTAAAAATATTTTCTTTCCATAAATGATATACGAAAATACTTTAAATTCCTTTTTAGGTATTTTCGAAATTTTTAAAATATAGTTTCGAATTTATTTTTAATTATAATTGCCATAACTGATTTAAAAGGGCAACTATGTCAAAAATTGACCAAAAAATAGAAAACATCAAGGGGACAAATGTTAATTCAATTGACATTATAAAAGCAATTCTCCCTTTATTGTTTAGTCTAGTGCTCTCTTTTATATGTTGATT